CATCGAGTTCATCGCCCTCTCGTCGCTGTACGGTGATACAACCATTAGCGAGTTCATCTACATCGACAACCAGCGTATCCCGATCCCCGAAAACATTGCCTCCGGCATGCGACATGTACGGGCCGTTTTCCTGCCCGAACCAGACCCGAAGACGGACGCGAACGGCAAGACTAAGAGCGAGAAGAAACCGGGTGGCACTCCGCGATGGCTCGTCCACGCACTGCGATTGTTCCGACCAATGTTCGATGATCACTCCCAGGGCCGACCGCTGCGCATTTGGTTTGATGCTCTGTGCATCGATCACAACAATGCCAAGGAGACGCAACATCAGCTCGTTCACATGACACAGGTCTATCGCAAGGCCAAGATCGTCGTGGGCTGGCTCGGACCGGCCGACAAAGACTCAGAGATTGCTGTCGACACAATCAAGGTCATCAACGAGATCATACCCCCCAACTGGGGCGACGAGGAGGACAAGAAGATCAACCCACAGAACTACTCGCCTCAGCATGAATGGATGAAGGCTCTGGCGCAGTTCTGGGCCGAGCCCGAGACCACGGAGGAGGAGGAGGAGGTGGAGCGCCCGGACGGTGTGCCCAACAATTACCATTGGATTGCCTGCAGGCAATTCCTCTCCCGCGACTACTTCAACAGACACTGGATCCTGACGGAGATGGGGAGAGCTAAACATCCAACCTTCTTGGCCGGGACCAAGATTCTGGGCTGGAAGCACATCCTGCGATTGACTGCCCTCTTCCAGGAGCTCAGGGACAAGCCCAGCAACGTCGTGCCGCCCCATTTGGTTGCTGCACTACACCAATTCCCCCTCGGAGTCGTGTATGACTTCTTGGCGGACTTCGATCAGAGGCACAAGGCTGAGAAGTTGGAGAGGCTGCAAAACACGCAGCGCTCCGACAACACCCAGTTCACCAGCAGCTCTGAGACATACACATAGACAACAACCACAAGGCAACAAAAAAAAGGAGAAAAGCAAAAAGATTACGAAAAACAAGAGAAACAACAAAACGCATATTCCTCATTTCAAAAAGCAACAAAAAAATCTATAGAACACAACACATCCACGAATCTCTCTTCTGTCATCTCTGATACCCTGGGACAGGTACGGGGCCACACGAATCGTCGGCGTTTGGGCGAAGCAGGAAGGGCACATGTCGGCCTGCTGGGATGCCTGCTCACATATCGCGCAGCTTCCAATGGGTTTGAATGCTACTGTAGCGTTACGTTTTCAATACAAAAGCGAATCTTATATTTTACCTGCACAATTGGGGTACTTGAATGGGAGAGCGTCATTGGCAACAGGTTGTTGGGACGAAGACAAACATAGCAGTTTAACCTCACATACAATCAATTGAGACACATTTTAAAAACTCCAGCTGCCAGAAACACTATACTTCGTAATGAGTTACCATTCGGCTAACATGCAACTTTAGTTACAGCGACTATGCCTGAGTCCAGTTCCGGTTCCATTCTGTTTTTCAACCCAACACCTCACCGCAAGTACCCACCGACATTAGATGAAAATACTGATTCAGTGCTCCAGTTCCAATCAAGCAGGTCAAAACCCAACGCTCATGCAAGCGTGTGGGGTTGAACCCGCCCCCAACATGTCAAGCTGCAAACGACGGGCTGGCAATAACCTCCTTGGCAGCTAGCCATGTCATGTTCTTGGCATCTGCCCGTCAGTGATCAACAATTGTTTACTCTGTCGGGCCGCCACGACTTTGACCAAGATTGATACACCGCCACTTGGGTGGAGAGACTGGCTGTCAGGCCACCCACAGGGCAAAAGCTGGTACGCACTGCCTGTCATTCTGTAATGAGGGAAATCCTGCAAAGGACATGGGGGATGTATTAGTGCGAGCTGTCAATAACTAACCTTACCCTAGATCCTGGGCTTTGAGGGCAAAGATGATTCAAACACCCAGACAGACATGCATCCTAGCCACTTGGCTCGTGGGTTTTGCTAGGATTTCGGATCGTACTTGCAGCTTGGATCGTACTCAACAATTTTGAATGTGCTGGCCCTGACCAGTTGTCATTGAATTTGGCCTGTCATCAACCCTGGCCAACAATCTAAGTGTCTTCCATGTTGCTTATGATCCCCCAGACAACGATCTCTTCGCGAAGATGCGACGTATCCGTGCGAAATGGGAGATCGACAGGGAAATACCGCAATTTCTCCATAAATAAACAACGTGGCTTCCAGAAAATAATCCGCCCTACGGGGGTTGTCAAAATCTCAAGGTTGTATCGAAATGAGCACGGATAGCTCTGTGGAGTTTTGCCACTGACAGGCCAGCCGTGGCGTTGTTTGAGATTGAGATATGGAATTAGTTGAGAATTCTAGAATTAAGTAATGTAAGTCGGTCGATATGTCAATGAGGTGCCTCAATGCAAGCCAGAAGAGGTGATTTGCGATGATTTTGCACTGCTTCGTGGTTTGAGAGGATGAGTGGCATCAATACGCCGACTAAAGATCTAAGTCTCCCTTGGGAAGAGTAACGTATCTGCAATCCTCACCCTCGCTTTCGGTTTCTTCTGTTATACGGTTCAAACAACCAGCCTGTAGATCGCGCCTGGGAAGCAACCATTCTGCTAGAGTAGTAGGCGGCAATTGCCGTCTTAGCCACTAGAGAGCAAACTCATTTGCCGCTCAGCGAATGAGATGAGATGCGTTTCACTAACAAATTACACCATTGACAACGCTAGTTGACTGAATTACGAGGGGCTGGCCGTGCTACAACGCTCGGGCTTATCCCGATCTATGTCGTAGAAGCAATGTCTATGTTAATTTGGAAAAATGTCGGACCGGCCTTGAAGATCGGGCTCGAGGATCAGTCCGTGATGCCTACAGGGGTTGAGAAATTTGATGGAAAAAAAAGAGAAGGCCCTATAACTGGTTCTGTTATAACATAAAAATATTCAACGCTGATCCTCATTACGACGCAAGACTCTTAAACTCGTCAGCTTATGCTATGGCCTGCCTCTAGATCAATTACCTCGCAATGAAGCCTGTATTAGGATATTGAGATGGGAGAAAAGTGTATTTTGAGAGGACCAGAGGATGCCACGCACTTCACCTCGATGACAAGTCAGAGAGGCTTGGCGTTTCTGATCAAAGGATTGAAAACCAAGTAACAGCACTGTCGGCTGGACCCATCCCTCCTCGTGTTCGAATTCTCTTTTCATACCTCGGCCAGTCACATGTATCCGCAATTCGTCTGAGGTCAATGGCGGGTGCGGAGACGTGCGTTTGTGTGTTTGAGAGATATATTTGGGCTTCTCTCCCCTCTTGTGTGAGTTCCGTTGTCAATTAACGCAATCTCGACGGCTGAATTTATCTTGCCGCAAATTGAGGCGATTGCGCTCGCCGTCATATAGCGAATTGCTCTTTATGGTCGCCGTGCTAGTATTCAGGCCTTCCCCTTTGAGGAACTCGCCGAGGTTAGGTATGTAGCTACTAATGCTAGGCAATGTGACAGATTGTGTTTTATTAAGCTCCGGAAGCTCTCTGTTATCTCCTCAACACAGCCTGCTGCCTTGGTAGGGTCGATGGGCTTTCTATCGATCATGGTGTTCTTAGGTTGCTATAGGATTATGAAGTTAGATAACTTTCTATTCCTAATAGTCGACACTAGTACCTTATGTACGGCCGGCCGCAAGCCTCATAGCTCGGCAAAAAGGGGGGATTAATGTGTTGTGATGCCGGGTAGAGCTTTGAGTTGTTCAATTATTAGTGTTTGGGTACTCACCCTTTGTTTTTTAGTAGCTGCCGCCGAACTGCATAGCTCTCTCCCTTGCTTACCATGTGAGTTCAACAACTACAACATTCAGGACGCATCAATTCCCAGTTTTAAATAGCTGGCAAAGATGAACATACATTTGATCAATTATTCTGAAATGTTCTCATACATAAAGCGACAAATACAGAATAGACTCGTACATATATTCACCTTAGAGAGCACATTTGGGTAATTTAGATGCCTTGAAATGGCGGTTGCTATTGGTGTAATTGGGTTTTCGAGTAGTTGCAAAGAAGCTTTTATTAGAGCTTGCTTGATTGTCTCCCTTTCAATTTTGCTTCCCTTTTGTTTCCCTTGGCTTGTGATTATTCTCAGGTAAGTGGCTTCAGAGATTTGATTTTGTTGTAGTGTTGGCGATGGTTGAGAAACCGTTAGCACTGGTAATCGTTCACTTGTGTTGATGATACTGAGGGTGATGATGAGCAGCGCAATCTTCAAACTTGACCATGGATAGCTCTGGTAAAGAACTATTGTCCAGTAATGAAGGTAAACTCATATTTCCGTCTAGTATCGCCTTGAAATCCGTTGCATTACTTTTCAGAATGTCAGAAGATGGATAGACTTTCTTCAGGGTTGGGCGTAGATAAACGAAAGGGAGGCTCGCGAGGTACTTGCTACATGACACACACGTTGAGTTTCATTTGGAGGATGCATATGAATTTTATGTTCATCTATATTAAGTTGTAGGTACTGCCGCCTCTTATCGCTTAAAGCCTACTGGCTGTTTAATATTCAGACGAGTCTTCAGCGGGATTGAAGAAGGTTTTCATACGACAATAGCCTCATATGATAACAACTTCATTTAACCATGATTTCACTTTGACTCAAAATATCCAGGGCCTATCAGTGACTTGTCTCTTCCATACGATGTGAGATAGAGGGAAAAAAGCTGCGATAATCCAAACAACTAGAAGGAATAATTTTTGGTCACAAGTGACTTTGCCACGTGACACAGTCGTAGAGTAGCAAAGAACTCAAGAGTCGTCCTGAGATATTAGGAGGAGGCTTGCGCCCCCATCTTTGCAGCTTCTTTCTCGTGGGTGTGACTCGCTTCAGGTAGGCTCTATCGAAGATAATGAATGCCTAATTGAGAGCGTTGGCGCCGCGATCAGCTGGAGAAACTACACCCACTCAAAGGCTGTCCTTTCACTCTCAAACCACAATATTCTCAGCCCGATGACATGTCCGAGTACGTTCTTACATAGGTTGACATCTCCCACACTTTTTTCCTAGCCCACAGAGGTCGGCCGATGGACCATTCTCAACCGAGAATTCGTTGAGATTTTGGATGGTCGAGAATATTCTGGGGTTCTTAACCGCAACACTGGAGATGCTACAGAATGGGTCAGCAAAGAGGAAGCTGAAGAAGCTTCGAGTGCCTTTGCAACAGAGTGTAAGAAACTTTACCTCGTCTTCTTGGAAGAATGAGTTGCTGATCAGCTTTCTTACTGGCCACTCTTCGTCACTTCTCAAGAGGGTTCTGATGCGAAAGGAAATGTCTGACAAGTCACAGGCGCTATCGTCATACAGGACAGGTAAATTACAAGCTCTCCGTTGTTCAACTCCAAGAGTCCGGTAGTTACAAGACCTGTAGCAAATTGCATCATCCAATCCGACTTCACTGAGGGTTAGCAGCGGCTTGTCGAAGAGAGAAACCTTGAGCGAACCTCCACCGCTTGCTGGGGACCGGCGCTCTGTCACAGAAAGCTGTTAGGGCTGGACTTTTTGCGCTTGGGCGTCTAGTGGATGATGATGTTGTCTGAAACGAGACTGTGAGCTGGACTGAGGTGCTCAAGGAACAACTTTCTGATAGAAAATGACGAACAGAGACTGCCGCCTTGGATATATTTCCTTGGATGGCTTGGGGGAATTGATTTCAAACGATGTTCATGGGGAGTTGATGTTTTGATAGTATTGACTGTCAGGCGGAGTGGTTTCATGCTGGTTTATCAGCTCGGGAGGGAATGGCCATTCATGTTGCTAATGGCCATTGTCAGATCAATGAGTCATTGGAGTGTAGGTTTGAGATAGGAGACGCCCGGAAGAGAATACTACAATCTGTCGTCTTTCTCGGTGTAAAGCCTACCTGCATTCTCGTTTGGATATCTGGGGAACATACTCCCACTTTGCGGAAGCTTGATATGATGGACCCCTTTCGAGAGTGGGAGCTTATGTTGGGAGCTGTGAAGAGAGAGTCAGAGGGGAAGGTTGTTCGAAATCATTCGAAATCGGTAGAGTTTGGTTTCTTCCCCTGACACGTCATGGAGGGAGAGGGAGGCTGGTTCTTGGAAAGGAGGAGATGCTGGCATCGAGTGAAGGGACACCCCCTGGCACGCGCATCTTTAGAACGAATTAGTTGTGGCAAATTCATCACAGCTCGTCTCGAGCCATAGCTGGAATTTCTGACCTTGTTTTTCTACATCATGATTGCCTATGTGGAGATGAAGGAGCATGACGCCCTACACTCACTGATACGAGATTGTGTCATGACACCCAACAGAAGCACAGCCCCTTACCATAGACTTGACTTCCCTCTCGATGGCATCATCTACATATCATACAAGAGTTGGATGGGTGGGTCCTAGAGAAAAAGGAAAAGGCTCACAAGAGGCAAAGCAGATGAACCCTCCAAGGCAGACTCGCGTATAATTGTACAGCAGGATTTACTATCATTAAGCTTCAAAAGTTCCATTGACTTCGGATAAAAGAGCAGTGAGCAGGGAGTATAGGATTTCCGTCTGAACAACTATTGTAGTGGCAGGGAGGTTGCATGGCGAGGTGACTTTTTGGGCAGTCGACGACTGTGTGAACAAACGCTTCGAGCGGCGGTCAGCAGCTCGGTAAAGGCCACCACCATCATATCATACCTCGGAGTGCTTTTCTGATGCTGACAGAAGGTGATCAAAGTCCTCTTGAAAACGGAGCGAGTGAACACGAGAGCAAGGCAGTGCAGCTCGGACCCGGCAATCGGCACCGTTGAGAATGGTGAGGCAGCCAGCAATCGATTCATCCTTCCCCGAAGCTCCAAACTGGTGGTTCCGGAAAAAGAGCGGTGATGACTCAAAAGGAAAGCAGCGGGGGATATTGATGCAATCTGGAAGAATGGAGAGTGTTCCGAAAATCTGGGAGGAGTCAGGGTTGACTCTGGCATAGCCACTCCGGCTAGCAACCATTGAATGCTCCACTTGGGTATCGGCGCCGGGAACTAGGCATCACTTCGTTTAATGAGCTGGCTTTTGGTTTATGCTTTAGACTTTCTTAACGTCCAGGTAAGGCAGTTTTGTGAAACCAGTCTGTTGGGCTCGATAGTGGCCCCCGCATTGACAAAGCCAGCGTTGGTCCTGCAAAGCATGGGCCTTTTTCTTACTTACCCCTGATCCACTGGCGATGGCATTCCAACATGAACAGGTACTCATGTATACAGAAAGGGATATTTTACCACCGCATTGAAAGAGGCTGTATTCTAAAAGGGCGGCTTTGTGTATTGGGCGAGGTAGGGTGAATGGCGACCACCCCCTTTTTTCGGAGCATTGCTGCCAATCCCTTGGAAGGTGAGAAGTCTGTGCAATTTTGGCCCAACCATGCATGTGAAGGACAACGAGGTGCTTCACCGTCTGTTTGATCGTATTCTGAGTGAAAGAAGCCTAATAGCCTGGCAGCCTGGCCTCTGATCCGGCTTGGCTGCCAAGGTGACCCAACATGTTGGTAGTTTACCCAAGCGAAGCACTGCCGCATCCAGAGCTATCGATCTAGGCGATGCCATCATCGATCACCTAAGGCGTGAAACACATGGGACAGGTGGTTCCTATCACGTTCTACACGTGGTCAGTGACACCTGCAGGGGCTCGAGACTGGGGAAGATGACACCATGAGGATCACTAGTGAGGCTTCCTCAACGCATGATGAAGAAAAACGGAAAGCAGTGACTTGTTGGTTTCAGGTGAATGCCTCACCGACTTGATGTAGGGCGGGTAGTCTTGGGAGAGGTGGTTCGTGATGCCGCCAAGGGCGCGAACAAGGAGGAACTATTGATGGCAGTAAAAAATTGGGTTGTTTTTCCACTTTGCAACCACGAAATGGGGCACTGTCCACTCTTTTTAATGAAGCTTTACCTGGTATTGTTAAATATTGTAAGGGAGAGATGGAGGGCTAACAAAGGGGCTCCCTGTGCTGACGAGCAATGCCACAGACCAGTGTCGCTTCAAGATTGCGGGAATAGGAAGTAATTTATTCCAATACCAGGAATTACGGGGGGCACAGGGGGCCGTTGGGTAATTGATGGTCCTTGTCATGGGGCCTCAGAGTGCCTTCTGACCAGTGCTTGGGGCTGTGACAGCTCTGATATTCTGATCTTGGGAGGTACTTTAGCGGTTTAATAGGGCTGGTGCCGTGGTTGGGCCTGAAGAGGTACCTCGGCTGCAGTGGCGAAAGCACGGGATTGCCAAGTACTCTCTTTGGTTATATAATCAAAGAATGACGCTTGCAGTGACTCAGTCAAAAATCTACAATGTGAGGTGGTTACATAAGCAGATCGAAGCCTGTGATTGAGCTAACCTGGAGCACAAAGAGGTCACATTCTGCAAGCGGCGTGACCAACGGAATGGGAGTGATGCAGGGACACGAGGGAGATGCAGGCGACGCACGACACGGCACATTCAATTAAAATGCCCATCGGCAAGGGGACCCAGTCTGTGTGTCCGTCACAGATGTTTTGGCGCCCTAGTCCCTTCACCGAACAGGAGGGGTCATGTTTCGAAGGCACTCGTCCATTGTGAGAGATGTACAGGCACACTGATGTGATCATGTATCGGGTGAGCGGTACATGTGCTTAGGCGGCGAGGCCACTGTCCGGCAAAGTACCATGCACAGCCCCAGGCCTTCTTCAAGGCGCTTTTCGCTGCCTTAGTTCAGGGCCCACTCTGCTGTTTCCAGACGCAAAGTTGCAGCAGAGCGCTGTCTTCCTGCTTATTACGTAGGCTAGTACTTAAGCAAACGGCCGTCAGGCTATCATCAATCACTCCAACAGCTTTCACAGCCTTTCCCCTCACCTGCCGCCTCAAACGACCGTCGCGACAGCGCAAAGCAATGCCATCCAAAATGGCCCAAAACGGCCAGAGCGAGGATCTGACCATTTACTACAATGACTCTATAGACTCCGACAACGCCGCCGCCGCGCTCGCCCTGCTCAAGGAGGTCGCCCAGCGCCGCCCGGCTGAGCGCGTTATCTGGATCCTGGAGCCGCGCCAGGTGGCCTGGGGCCCCAGCATGGGCAAGGAGGAGTCCGACAAATGCAAGAAGCTCTTGATCAAGTATTTCCCAGACAAGTATAAGACAGATTACGACGCCTTCAAGGCCCTGCTGGGCTCACGTCTCAAGGAAAAGACGCTATTGGAGCGACAGAAGGAGTTGGAAAGGGAGGGCCAAGAAATCCCCAGCGAGGACCTGGACCTGGTAAGAAACCTACTTTTGTTGTGGCCCTATTTTTTTCGCCGATTTTTTTTCACTGACACATTGCTCTCTAGTTGAGAAAAGCTACTAAACCTATCAACTCACATAAAGAGCAGTCCAAGAAACATGCCAAACTCATGGCGTGGGATCTTGCTGCCTGCCTAACCCATTGGTCCAAGGAATACTATACATCCTCCAAAGCCCCAAAGGTTGAAGTTCTGGTGGATTATGAAAGTCTAGAGGAGATTCAAAACCCAGTGAACCTACATTTGCATTACCATGAAGAGTTGGTGAGCCGTACCAATGAAGAAATTGAAAGCTACAACAACGCCGTGCAGGAGGAGTATGGGGAGCAGAAGAGTGATCCATTGAACCAGGACGAGAAAGCCTTACAAAAGGATAAGAAGAGCAACGCCGTGGGAAAATGGTACGAGGAGTGCATCCACAAAGAACAACAAAAGACCAAGGAACAGCAAAAGACCAAGGGTCAAGAGACCTCAGTTGGCCAACTTGATATTGAGTCCCTGTGCCAGGCAATCAGGGCGGCCAGGAACGTCAGGTTCATGGGCGGGTCGTCTCTCCGAATCTTGCGTCAATTTATCGAAAAGGAGGTGGCTCACAAGGTTGAATGCTACCTACAGGCGGTAGGTTATTACGCAAGTATTACCTGTCTGCGGCATGTGCTAATCTGCTATGTAATTATAGGGAACCCAAGACTTTGCAGCCAACCTGTTCCCAAACCAATTCAACATCGGGCTAAACATAGAGGCTGCAAGCTTTGTCCTAAGAGAATACAAGCAATTCTTATCCTTTACGATCGTCCCATCAGCTACGGCACAAAGTCTCAAGTACTCCTTGGTCGGGCTACAGAGATTAGGGCACGACTGTCTGGGCAAGAAAATGCTTGGCTACAACGGCAAAGTAGAGCCCAAGGATATTGCAGCGGGGGAGCGTACAATCGAAAAACACTTTGCTGAAAAGACAGCAAGCATGCCTGATCTGACCACCTTCCTCTGCGTTCTCAAAGAAAAGGAGCTCGGTGCATTTAAGTCGTATGTCGAGGTGGTTTACAGCATCGAGAAGGAAGCGGAGCCCACAAACGACGAGTCCAAGAAGAATGGCTCCCAAAATGGTGAGGCCAAGAACGGCGATTCCAACAAGACCAAGGCCGAAACCAGCGAACCCGAGAGAGACGAGAATGGCAAGATAAAGGAAGGCGTATCTCTACGTCTGAAGGATGCCGAGGAGGGCATCCCCATCTATCGATTGCCGCCAATGAAAGATTTCACCGCCGACGAGGTCGTGAAGCTGCTGGATTTCTCAGGCGGAGGGGATTGACTAGCAGCAGGATTCGCGAGGACGCTCATTCGGCGCACGCGAATCCTGATTAGCAGAACTGTTGAGGATCTCAACAACTCAGGCTTGAGAGCAATACTCAATCCTCGGAACGGTCAACGGCGAAGTTCTTTGTAAAGAAAGACATGCTACGCTTTTTAATGTCCCCCTGATGCGGAATATACTCTTGGGTTCTAGGGGCGTTGGATCAGGATGGCTTCTTTGAATAAACTTTGGGGTTTGTGTATATGGGTTTTATCATGGCAGTTTTTTTATGTTCAAACAAATCTTTTTTTCTCTTCACCCCCAGTGTCCTCGCCGCAACTTGTGATGCCTAGAGAGTGTTATGCGTATCTACTTACCTATCAATCCGAGGTTATTACGCTATGAAAAAGCCATTGATCCCTAATTATCCAACATTGAAACATACCGTCTAGTGTGAAATATTTCGTCCTAATCTAAGTTTACAACGTCAACGGAAGCTGGAAAGCGGCCTGACGTATGTTTTTACTTCCGAGGGGCCCATCTAGCTCTGGAAACCGAGGCACCCTCTGCAAGTTGGGCAACCCTTCAGCTCTCTCACCTAGCTATCATCCTGTAGATAGATATAACAAGTCTCGGGCTCCGAGAAATATAGCCCCGATATCTAGCAATAAATTTGCGCACTTGGCGAGGAGTAGAAGTGGGGTCTAACCCGTGCCCAGAAAAGCATTTCCAGCTCTGTGATGTGTACAATTTCAGCCTGATCACTGCACTCCTTCCCCTTTGTAGCGATTTCGGTCTCAGCTTGAACCGGCTAACCAATAGGTCGTTCCTGATAAGTGATGCTGACTGCGTTTCCCCGCACTTGTGCTCTCTCTGCTTACGCCCGTGGAGGCAGAAGCGCCCTGAGTTGCCGCTTACCTTGGCTGAGAAGCCTGGTGAGGCTGTGCACATTGCAGGATTGCTACCCGACAGTTCAAGGTAGATTGTGAAAGGATCAGAGGCATCTTGAGGCTGCATGAAAATATGGCACGGTGTTCTACCGACCATTTATATTCATCTGCGAGTTTCTGAGAAGATAGAATGCCATGAACATAAACTGCGCGTTTTACAAAGAGTGGGCTTGATGAGAACACAATTTCAGTTTAGATTCTCTATGCATAATACGCGAAAGCGAGAAATAAATCTTATGAGCTTGGTTAGGGAGGTGGGCTTTTTGCTTAGCCCATGAGTACTTATGATATTGAAGCCGCCTTACCACTAGATAACACCTTTACACTCTTGGAGTTTATCAGCCCAAGAGATTATTATTCCATTGGGTACATTTTGAAATGCCAGTAATCCATCCGCTACACGTTCGCAATGGCTTGAGGCTAAAAGTTTGATCTCTTCTAAAATTGTATGTATGTTCCTAATTTGACGTGGTAGTCTTCCTTCGTAACCACCTCTACGTATAAATGCTCTGTTATTTCGAACAAATTGAGTACGGCTATTCGGTGTTCTGCCGTTGATATTACCAGATAACCTGATTGTGTTTGAAAAGTAAGAAGTAAGAATGATACATATGCAGCTCCTCCTGGATGTTGGGAATCGGGATTTGCGTCTCTCATTTTTAGTTTTTGACCTGAGCTGCGGAAAACATCTGCTCTCCATATCATGAATGAATGATAGCTCTCTTTGAATGACTTCAATTGATAAATCCACCGGCTCTCAGGCACGGGGAAATCGTATCAAGTGTTCGACTCCATAAGCCTCATAATCTCCAGGGCGACTTCGCGGAACTCTTGGCCAAACTGCAACACATCTTTCCACCTGCTCGGGATGGCCTCTTCTCCGTGTCGTGCGCCAAGTAAACCGCCGGCCACGGCACCATTTGTGTCCGTATCCTTGCCGAGCCGCACAACATCCACGAGCACCTCCTCCAGACTGCGCAGGTCTAGTACGGCAGCAATGGCGATCAACAAGGTCTCGAGGACGTACCCCGACGCAAAATTCGGGAGGAACTCCTCGGGCGGCCCATCCCGGGCTGCGCGGGCCAGATCAAACTTGCGCCCAGCCCGAATGGCCACAGTGACAGGTCCCTCGGCCTCCTCGAGTTGGATCGCCGCCGCCTCAGCCACGCGGACGGCGTAGTCTGGATCAGCGCCATCGATGAGAGCCGCCGTACAGGCGTTGTACGCAGCACAGGCGATGGTACACCGGGGGTCCGTATGGGTGATGGTACTGATAGACACGCTGTTGGACAAGACGCTGGCGAGATCGGGCTGGAAGAGCGCGGTGGGCAAGCACCTCATGAGGGACCCGTTACCCGCGGAGCCATGGCCAGCGCCGCTTGGCTTTCGAGGGTTTCTGCGGAATGCCTGGATCCCGACATTGGTCGCGTAGCCGATGTCTTTGGGACGCGAGTTGGGCTGGCGCCCGGGCCAGTGTGTCCCTTTCCACCAAGCGACGAAGTAGTTCCCAGCGCGTAAAGTGATATCCTGCCTAGAGAAGGGCGGGACATCCTCGTCCGTCGTGGAGCGGCGGCGATGGAGGTCGTGCCAGGCGTCGCGGTAGGCCAGGAGCACGCCCCGAGTCATGTCTGTGTCATCAGTGGCATGGCCAGGCGCCCAGGAGAAGATACCGCCGCCTACTATCTCGCGTAGTCCGTTTGGACAGACGCGGCGAATCTGGTCGTGCGACTTGAATTCGACAGCGGCACCCAGTGAGTCACCGGCGTGAAGTCCGAGTAGGGCGCCGATGATGCGGGATTCGCGGGCTGTAGCAGGGTTCGACATATTGGGATAGATTGCTACCAATCACGGATAGAGTATCAATCGGTCACTTTTTCTCACGACGGTGATGATGTATGCCGCGTGGGACTGAATGCGATTGGGTCAAGGAAGGGGGCTGTGTTGCGGTGTGGCTGTTCGGTTGCAACAAGGCAGAAACACGCCCAAACAATTATTTAATTGGTTTAGGGAGGCTCTAGCAGTTATCCCCGTGCCATTTGTTACAAAATTTATTTATCATTCAAAATGACGGTTTGTTGGTGGCCTCTTGGCTTCAGAGCTCTTACTCGATGCGGAGCCGTGGACGGAGACGAAATGCCAATCTCATGTGACCAAAGAGTCTTGTAACTATTGCCAACACAGAACCGTGTATTGTTTCCGATGAGCCATGCTTAAGTGGCTTTTTTGCCTGCCTAGAATCTCAGAACAAGTTATATGAAGTAACACTACCTAATAACAAGATCATACATTAGCCTCTTGTTGGTCACATTTCCTGCGTTCATAACTACGTTTGAACGGTCGGCTCCTATCGCAACTAGCCTTTCCAAGATCATGTGATGCTGTTTATGAGATCCTGCTTGGATCGCAGTTGGCACATTGCTGATAATATTGACTTCAGCACTCGCTTCTAGACGCTTTTCGACTTTTCGAGAGCATCGAGCTGTTGCTAAACACACTGTACTCCAACGCTTCTCGTTGATTGCAACGGGAGCAAGGTTGACATCAACGCCTGCTGTAAACAACTTGATAATAATTTGTGTACGTGTCTTCCTTCGGCTGCTGAAAAGAGGACACTCAATCCGTCATGCTAGATGCTAGAACAAGTTCGGCTGATCTCCTGCTAGTAAAGATCTTTTAACAATGCCCTGACGTCCTGCTCTCATGGTTGACATAAGCGCTGCCTCGTGTCTCCCAACTGCATTGATAGCCACTTCTTGCGAAGAGCAGGATATTGATAGTGCGGGCCGCGTTTTCCCCATACCTGTACTTCCGTTGTAGGATGTGAAAGAAATTTCTGCTAAATGTGACAAAGATACCTCGGCTCTAGTGTTTCTGTTTCTGCCATCTGATTAATATAATATTGATGAGATAGAAATCAAAGTTACATATTATGATCTAACAGGTAGACTATCTTAGCCCAGCATATTCGCATAGGGTCTTATAGATCAGACTGCCGAATAATACAAGAATTTATTGTGTTTAGCTAGTGTTATTCTAGGATACGCCACAGGTGCAGAGGTGCTCTCATCAGGCCGAGCTGACCGCTCCGTTGTCCGCGTTCAGGACTTGGCCATTGAGGCTTGATGCTGCATCGCTTGACAAGAACATAATTAGGCTTGACATTTTGTCTAGGGGAACCATTGCGCTTCCATCCTTCAATCCTGGGCAAGTTGTCATCAGAAGATTAAGGCCTTCAGTGTCCGTGTTTCCCTCGAGATCTTTGAAAAGTTCTGTATCCATTCCGCCTGGCTGTACTAGATTGCAGCGAATGCCCTTCTTGCCATAGTAGGATGCAATGTTCATGGTCATGCCACGTAATGCGTGCTTGGATGCGGTGTAAGTTATACCTGAAGGACTCGTTAGTGAGAGGTAAGTCCCTAGACTCAGATAAGAACTTAGGTATTCAATTTGCACCTACCGGCAAGATAGCCCTTAAGCCCTGCGATGGATCCGACATTGACGATATTGCCTCCCTGTGGTTCTTGAGCTAGAAACTGGGTTACCGCTTCCTTCGATACGAGGAAGTTGCCCGTTAAATTTACTGAAATGACTCTATCCCACAAGGCTTTGTCTGCTTTCCCTACAGGAGCTGTATGCTGCATTAGTACTTACTGGCAAGGAATCCAGAATGGATACTCACCCAAAGCATCAAAGATCCCGGCGTTGTTCACCACCACATCGATCCGTCCAAACTTATTGACTGCTGCCTTAAACAAGCCCTTGACTGATTCTTCGTCGGCGACATCAACCTTCTGGGCAAAGACCGGTCCTTTTCCGGAAAACTCTTCCTCGGCCGCCCTCAGCCTCTGCTCGTGGATGTCGCAGAGTACAACATGAGCTCCGGCTTCGAGGTAGGCACCAGCTAGATACCGTCCTAATCCGCCTCCAGATCCGGTGATCAAGACTACTTTGGATTTAAAGAACATCATATTGACATCGGTCGGCGAGGAGTGGTAAAAGCTGGGATACTTTTGCAGAAACCCCTCATTTTGCCAACAAGGGCCTTAATTCTCAATATATAGGGGTTGC